TTGGTGTTAATCTTCTGGATTTTGTCCCATTTTTGTGTAATTTCTCATTGTCTATTTTATCAACTTTTTTCTTGCACTATATTCCTGAAATTTTGTAGAGCTTTGTCTGTGTTTTCCTTGACTGTTTTCTTAATTTGTTGTATGGCACTAAGTATAATTACTTTCATTGTTCATCAGATGTTGCTTTACCATTTCTTCTTTTGAATAATTTTCTGGCCATGTAATTTGGTCACTTGTTCAAGTCACTTTGTTCTGTTTACTTGTGTGAATTGAAGTTGTCTGTGGTCACTGAGACATTGTGATTTTATTGTATTTATTTGGTTATATTTTGGTTTGTTTTACCCTGGTTTTAATTTTTAAAATTCTATCTGGGTGAATGGAGTGGGCATGCTACTCTGGTCACTAGCTTGGCAGCACTGAGGCACTTGCCACCTCTCTGGGCTGTTATGGTAGCAGGTGGTTAGGATAACAGGAATGTAGACACAGGATCCTGTTTGTTGGTTGTGTTGAGCAGCTGAAAATGGTCTGCGCAAACGTTGGTCACCATTTATTGTTGATCCAGTGATGCAGGTGTGGGCGGTGGCACTTGCTCAGTGGGTGAGGTGGTGGTGTGACAAATGTGGCTGGGTACTATAGACATGATTGTTTGTTTCACACTGGATTTGTCTATACTGTGTCCCTGTCTAATTGACAATATTGTGAATTCTTGGCAGTTGCCTTTTTGTGTACTTCTGGTAATGCTGCTTGCAATGATTTAAAATGGCCATGCTGTGCTAGGTCAGCTGGGAAGGTACTTCCACTTTGAATAGTTCCTTGTTCATCAATTTTATTTGCTTTATTCTTCCAGTGAGTGTTTGTTCTAATTCTTTATTCTTTCATTTGAAACTCAGGGGCCCAGGATTGTCATCTGTATCTAATCTCACTTGGTATTTCAAGTCTTTGCTGTAGAAGGATGGCATAGGATGTCTAATTATTTTGCCATGTTAACTTCACTCCTCCCGAAGCAGACATCTTAAGAAAAATTTTCATTGTGCCTACTTACCTTGGAAACTGGTCACACCCTCAAGGAACTCTTATCTCAGGGCATTTATAGCTAGTGAGTGCAAAACCACTTAGAATCCTGGCTCAGCCAAGTTGATACAAAACCTTAACTATCACAGGTCACTCCTTGTCAACTTGGCATCTGTACTCATTGCCATTGAGTGAATGCTGACTTGTCGTGGGTTTCAGAGACTCACTGTTTACAGGAGTAGAAAGACCAGTCTTTCTCCTGAGGAGCTACTGGTGGTTTCAAACTGCCAACTATGCACATCACAGGTCACTGCGTAACCACTATACCACACCTCTCCTGAAACCATTTATTTTATTGAGTGGCTTTTAATTATTTTAAAATTAAATTATATTAAAATTATATATTTTTTAAATGGAGATTATTTATATAGAACTATAATTATTTATATAAAATAGAAACTATAATTTATAAGTCAATAATTTCTAAATAAAAACAATTATAAAATCACACTTTTGCCTAACATGATGAAAACTAACACAGACAACTTAAAATGCACTGAGCCTATGTATTTCTTAATATTTTATAAGTGAACAAAACAAAAGTATGTGATGCTTACATAGAAGGAAGACATATAACAATTATAGTCCTCATTTTTTCAACTGATCATAACAGCTATATCTGTTATTTAAAACTACCTTCTCCCACTAACCATTCCATATTCCTTGTGCGATCAGCAAACTCCATCGCTGCTTGTAGTTCTTTGTCTGGGTGGTAACCAAACCTTCAATTCCATGCTGGAATTGTGTTGCTGTAGTGTACTATTTACTTTAATCACATGGCATGGTAGTACCAACAGATATTCTAAGGAATGTCAGGATTCCAGATATAGCCTTCTCCATTATGTAATATCAATTCACTTGACCTAGAATTCTTCCACTTGCACAAATCAAGAAAATATTTAGCAGGTTTCCCATTTATTTCACTCATGCCCAAGTAGCCAACACCATAAATCCATATGAGTCAGACTATACTGATGACTACTTTGACTCTGTTGCCTATTACGGTAACCACACTCACCTTGTTTCTGTCTATTAAGCGCTGCCATCATGGGCCCCAAGAAGCCTGATTGTAATTAAGTGTCTTCATTCAATCAGGGCAGCTCCCCCTGTCAATCTAGCCCACATAAAATAGCATCACAGCAGTCTTCAAGGATTCTGGGGCTCCTTTCACAAATTTGTTCCTCACTGTGGTGATAAGAGGTATATCCATGTTTTTAGCCTCATAAATCCACTCTAACATGCCAATCTCCCTAAGCCTTAGGATAACTTCTACAGGCCCGGTGATTCAACTTGATTTAATGTAGGTCACAAGTTATGTATGCTTCAGTGAACAAACTAATTAAACTATTAGATCTTTTTATAACTATGCAAATGAGGCCCCAGTGACCCACTAAGGGGCTTGTGCAGCTTTCTGAAAATGCAAATAAGGTTCATGGCATCCAAGTAGGGATTAGAACTGTGAAAACAAGGTTTATGGAATCCTCATGATGGGATTGGTTCGTTTTATGATCCTTCCAGGCTTAAAATGAGTCAGAGATAGAAAAGGAGAAGAGAAAGAATTAGAGCGCAGTCTTTGGAACCAGTCTCTGTTCAGGGAACTTTCTAGACCCAGGACACAGATATATAACCTGGGAGATGGCAAGGGACAGCAAGGAGCAGCAGAAGCAGAAGCAAAAGAACCAGAAGACTGGCCAGAGATCATGTGCTGGGCTTCCTGAGCACCTTCAGCTTTCTGGATGGTGTGTTGTGCTTCCAGGCACTTGGAAGAGCTAGGCCCACCTACCCATGGAGCAGGAGAGCTATGACCTTTGAGCTATGACTTCCTGGTAGAATGAGGTGGAGCTAAAGAACTTGATTACACTTGACAAGGTAGGGCAGAGACAAGAGCAGCCCAAGAGGCCTGAGAGCTAAGGGCTGAGGAAGAGTCAGAGAGCAGCCTGCGTGTAGGCATGACTGAGAAGAACTCTGTGCAGAATGGTAACATGTTGTTTCCCTATTGTTACTGGAATTAGGTTCTTATGTTTGCCAAGAGAAAGGTTTACTCTAGCTAGACATGGAGGCAATGCTGGAAAATTGGAGGGGGTAGCCATATAACCAATACAGCTGAAATATCAGCTTCCCCACTGTAAGGTAGTCAAGAGGCGCCAGAAACCAAATCAGTCGAATTAGAACAAACAGGCTTTATTGGGCAGAAAAACCCAGGCTGGGTGAAGTCCCACAGTCCACAGTGTCCGGGCCGAGGGGGTTGCGCCCCAGGCTACAAGGGTGGTTCTTATATGGCCAGGGAACATGTGACTGGGCTGCCTTGAGTCCATATAAGGTAAAGCAGTCAGGGATTGGGAGATACAGGTATGTCTGGATTTCTGGAATGTAAGGTGTCTTCCTGGTTCCGGGTGTATTCGTTCTGGGTGCAGAGCCGCGGATTGAGAACAAAGCGGGCCTTGCTAGCCTCGGATTGAGCCACACGGGCCTTGCTAGGTGCAGAGCTGAGGGTCAAGAATAAAGCGGGCCATTAGCCTGCTCTGGTCAGCTCCACAGGTGTGTGAGGGAGATTCAAGGTCACTCCCTGCTAGTTGTTTCAGCTAACTCTAGTCAGCTCTGCACGGGTGGGGGAGATTCAAGGTCATTTGCTGCTAGAAGCCGGCCTGGTGTTGATCCGGCCATACGCCCACCAGCACCTGCATCCCTCGCTTTTTAAAGACTTCATTAAGAGAGATGGCCTAGCTTATCAAATTTCTCTAAGTTATCACCCATTCAACTATACAAGGGAATGGTTTTTGTGTCTGTCTAGGGTCCAGGTCTCTACTTTTGCTCCCTGCCCAATCTCACCTAATACACTCCATAAACATTTTCTGTGACTTCTGTGTGGCCATTGCAATGGACGATGGAGCTAGTCAAGACTTTGGAGGATGTTGGCATGGCTGACCTCTGCCTTAGAGGACTCAGTTGGGGATGTTCATTTTGATCCTGTTCCTGCTTGTGAAGCTAGAGAAGGTCACATGTGTCTGCAGTGTCGGGTTTTTTTTTAATGTAAAATATTTAATTCCACTCTGCATTGTCTTTTTATCACTGCGTTCTCCCTACCCCCACCCCCTAGTGGTTCATCTTGATTCCTTTGTTTATTTTGAAGGCTTTCCTTGCCAGCTATTGCTTGGTCATTCACTTAGAATAATAGAAGACATTCTGAAGCTACTGAACCCTACCTGGGAGTAAACGGTTAAGTTCTTGGCTGCTGAACAAAAGATTCACAGTTTGAACCCACCAGCTTTGTGGGAGAAAGACCTGCTGCTCAGCTTCCATTTAGAGCACAGCCTAGGAAACCTTCTGGGCAGTTCTGCCAAGTTCTACGAGGAGTTAAAGCTGACTCCGTGGTAGCTTACAAAGACCTGATACGCTGCAGACATGAGGCTTGTAGACATGAGATTTGGCTGAGAAGATGCACTATGTTATAGGGTGGTTGTGTGGCAAAATGCCACTGTTTTAAGGCCTTTTCTGACTACAGGCATTCAGTCCGTTTCCCCAGAGGAGGGTCCTCTAATTTCCTGTGTAGGAGATATAAGCACAGGGAAGACCAGTCTTCTGAAAAGGAATCTTTTTTCATTGTATGTTGGCCTTGAGAGGTGAGCAATAGATAACTTTTTTCTGTTCCAATTTGAGCGCACACACACACACACACACACACACACACACATTCACATACTATTTTGGGTCCGTTTTAAATTTTCATTGAGAATTTAATACATATCATTAAAATTATCTGAGAACTTGATATTTCATGGAAAATATTACTTTACTATTTTGAATTTTAGCATTTCTATTTGTTGGACATTTATATTGTTTCTTTATCACTCCCCACCCCACCCCCGAGCCCCGCCCAAGATGATTGCTTCAAGAGGACCTCTATTTACCTTATGTTCTTCTCTACCCAGGTTGCCTTCAGCATGCTGGAAATCTACAATGAGCAGGTAACAGTGCTTCTGTTTTCTGACACACAGTTATGGGTAACTGCAGCTTCATGGAAGCCATGTGGTCACCATCACCTATCCTACAGATCAAGTGAAAACTCCTTTAGCCTTGCCTTGGCCCCCTGGCACTTTCCTGGTCCCCAGCCTCGTTTTGTGTCCTTTGTCTTCACACACTGGCTCAGCCGCACAGGGCTTTTCCTCCTTCCGAATTCACCTGACTACTCTCTTCTCTCTGGCTACAATCCCCTCCCGACTTTATCTGCCCTTTAGAAACCATTAAACTTCAGGAACCCCCTCTAATGCCAGCACATTTTTATTTCCTGTGACAGGTTATTTCGGTCAGCATGTTTACTTTTTCTGTAAAAAACGAGGCAGTAGTTGCTCTCGGCTTTGAGAGCCATGCGCTTTGTGTCACAACGACTCAACTCTGGTCCTAGAGTCCCCCAACAGCCAAAGACAGTGTGTAGATGAACAAGCATTACGATATGCCCATCAAACTTTGTATATAAAACTGAAACTTGAATGCCATCATTTCATTGTGTCATGAAAGTGTGACTCCCGCCCCCCCCCCCCAACATTTAAAAATATAAAAATTCATTCCTAGGTTGAGGGTCATTCATATGGAAGCAGGTGGTGGGTAGGGTTGGTTCACAAACTAGAGCTGGTCCCCTCTTGTAGTCAGAGAACGAATCTGCTTTCACATGCCAGCCTCCCATGTCCTAGTGATGTGCCTTTCTGAGACCATCTAGCCTCAGAGCCTCAGTTTCCTCACTTGTAAAATGGAGAATTAAAAAACTTAAGATCTACAAATTAAAAAAATTAACAGTACCTAACAACTATCAGATAATTAGTAATTTTTTTCATTTTGCCTTTACCTCTTATACTGATTACTTTGTACTGTAAAATTTTATTTACATATTCTTATCTCCAAAACATACAGGGCATGCTTTTGAGCCTCTTTCAATCAGTAGCACTTAGCACAATATTTGGTCTAGAATGGGTGCTAAATGGATAAATGGGCAAATACTTGTAAGTTTCTTATGGACAGAGAAGATATGCTAATATTTTCTTGTACAATCCCATGCACCACCCAAAGCCCTGCACTTTAATAATTTCTAAATAAATATTGGGGAAACACAAGTGTGATTGCCAGACATGCACCTGATGCATAGCCACACCTGTCTGTCAGTGGAGGCATGTGACATGGAACAGTTTTCAGCAGTGTGTCCAGACTGTCAGAATAGGCAGAAAGTTTGGCAATTTACTTCTAAATATTAGTCAGTGAAAACTTTATGGGTCAGAACAGCTGAATCAATCATGGGGCTGGTGCAGGACGAGGCAGTATTTTGTCTCAATGTGCATGGAGCCACCATGAGTTGGGAGATGACTTCACAGTGAAACAAACTTAAGCCATGATTCCTGGTATGAAAGACATACATACTCTCCAGATAATAATGCAATGGCATATGTGCCGTGTGATGGATGGGGAGTCTCCGGGCAGTGCAAACAACATGTTCAGCTGTTAACTGCGAGGCTGGAGATTTGAGTCCACCTGAGGTAACTCAGAAAAACAGCTTGTTTGACCAACCAGTTATTGAAAACCCCACGGAACACAATTCCACTCTCACACTCTTGGGGCTGCCATGCGTTGACGTTGACTCAATTGCACCTATTCTTTTGTGAAGGGCGAAAAGAAAGAGGCATAGAAGAAAGAGTAACTAGCGCTGGGTGAGCAGAGAAGTCAGAGTGAGTGCTGAGGGATGTTTATGAGTTTCGGGAGGCAGGGAAGTGTGTGGGATGAGGAGAAGAGCAAGTGGAGCGGCCTCCTAAATGACTTGAAAGGCTGATAGACGTTCTTGAAGTACTGTACTTGAAAATAATAAAGCTGCATTTATTGATTTTAAAAAATCTTCCAACTTCACTAATTACAATAGACTTTCCTATCTTCTTGTTTGTCATTGCCTTATTCCTTACTTGGCTAGGTTTTATGGGGTGTTCTGGGTGTTGGAATAATGATGACCAACTTTCAGAGACATGAGCCTAGGGAACTACTAGACAGTGACATGCATTTAGGATAGTTGTATACCAAGGTAAATTATTTGAAATCAGATAGTGCATATAACTCTCCATTAATAAAAATCTTCAATAAATTCGAATACTCTGTACCTTTTTGTTAGCCTATAGAAATCTAACATTCATACATTCATATATAATGGATGAATTTAATGAATATGTATGGAGTGGCTAATATTTTCTAGGAAGAGATATAGCTGTGAAGGAAAGAAGTACCCCTGCCTTCAGTTTACAGGATTTATTCTTTTTTCCACAGGTACGCGATTTATTGTCTAGAAACAAGAAGCCTGCGGTACTGAAAGTCAGGGAAGATCCACAGTTAGGGTTTTATGTGGATGGTCTCAAGTCAGTGCCTTGTTCGAGCTATGCACAAATTGAAAGGTTGATGGAGCAAGGAACAAAAATAAGAACAACAGCTTCAACCAACATGAATGCCAGCAGCAGCCGATCCCATATGGTCATCACCATTCAGTTTAAGCAGGTGAGATTCAGGTAAAGATGGTTGTCTCCACGCCCCTGCAGGAAGAGTGTCTTGAGGGGCTTAGTGGACTGGTGAGTCCTTTGAAATCCTTTTAGATGTAATTTGTGAATTAAAGTGTCTATTTCCAAGCATCCGATAAGTTAAAAATTCCTTCACTGTTGTCAAGTCGATGCCAACTCACAGTGACCCTATAGGAGAAGGTAGAATGGCCCCTGTGGGTTTCCCAGACTGTAACTCTTTACAAAAGCCTTGTTTTTCTCCCTTTGAGCAGCTGGGAGTTTCCAAATGCTGTCCTTGTGGTTCACATCCCAAGGTGTAACCCACTGAATAGAGGGTCCGAAACTGGAAACGTGAGACACCTGCTCTTGTTCTGCCACCCTGGCCCTGACGCGATGTCCTCACCTGGCCTACATGAGCCACTGTTGAAGGTGTAGTGGCAATCATTTCTACCACATCCCAGAGTGGCCCACAACACTAGGGACTGATTTTCCTCAAGCAATTTCCATGCTTTGAGGAATACTTTTTTACCCCAACTTTATAAATAAGAAAAACCATGAAGATATGAGAGTGACTATTATTTATCAAGAAAAATTTTATGAGTAGTCCTTCTGTGTATTGTCAGTATAATAATGACTAGCTTTCAGATACATGAGCCTAGGGGACCACTAGACACTGAAATTCATTTAGGATATTTAGATACCAGGGTGAGTGATTTGAAACCTAATATTTCATGTAACTATCCATGAAAAAGAATCTTTGATAAACTACAATACACCCAATTTTTTTCCTTTATTGTGGTTTGCATGAAACTTTACAGAACAAATTGGCTTTCCATTCAACAATTCGTACACACTTTTGATTCTTGATATTGATAGAAATGTCCATAATATCACAGCACTCAGTCTACTTCCCCACTGTTTACTATTTCCTTCATCCTTCTTTCCTGTCCCTTCCTGCCCTCTGAGCTTTATCCCTAGTCAAATGCTACCCTTTTGATCGAGAATGGTTGGTGTATGTACCTCCCTGATATTATGCTTCACTTCATAGGCCTGCCTATTGTCAAGCTGAAAGTTGAACCACAGAGATGAGTTCAACTTCAGGTTCTAAGCTTGAAAGGTGTCATAGTCTTAAGGATTCCACCAAGCTCTACCAAACCATTGAACCTGGCTTTTTTCATTACTTTGAGTTGTGTTCCACATTTTCCTCCTGGTCTTTTCAGGGCTGCCTATTGTGATCCCATTTACAGCAGTTGGGAGGGGCAGCTAGTCATGGTCTCGTTCAGTGGTTCTCAACCCTCCTAATGCCGTGGCCCTTTAATACAGTTCCTCATGTTGCGACTTCATAACTGTAACTTTGCTACTGTTATGAATCGTATGACCCTTGTGAAAGGGTCGTTCGATCCCCAAAGGGGTGGTGACCCACAGGTTGAGAACCGCTGGTCTAGTTAGTTCTTTAGATCTCGGAGTGCTGGAGACTGGGGTTTACATGGTCCAGTATTCCTTTGAATGAATGGTTTCCATGAATCTTTGATTTTCTTCACTTTCCGTCCCTGCAGACAGACAGAGACCAATAGTTGCACATTAGATGGCTGCTCGGAAGCTTTTAAGACCCTGGTCACTTACTCATAAAACTTATGCTGTTTGATCTTGATGCCCCCCCCTAAAACTAGGATCCTGTTAGTAAAGTTCATAAACTTTCCGTATGATTGGTTATCCCTATTTTAAAATTTTGATATTTGGGAAACAAGAGAAGAAATCAGCTGAAAATAATAAGTGGAGATATTTAACACCATACTTTGTTTATTGGTTTAGTAGTAATAATAGTAGTAATATTAGCATCTATTGTCACATATTATATAGACACATATTACATGTAACCCTCATGATATTCCAATATTATATTGTTGTCGTCCCTTTTTTACAAATGAAAAAGTTGAAACTCTCTAAGTAATTTGCTTATAGTCATATAGTCATCAAGGGCATCTGGAAGACTCTAAAATTTATGTCTTTTCCACAACATAACCACACAATCTGGGATAGTTATTTTGCAGATTTCATAATAATGCATATTTTAAAAGTCCATTGACCATAGAAATATTGGAGGAATCACTGGTGTTTAATAAGGCACTGGAAATTATTTTAAAGGGTGGAAAGGGGCACTTGAGACCTTTGGACCTGGTAATATATTAGAACTGGACCATGTCTTACTATCCATTGGGTCTCTCTGAGCCAGAGCCAACTCAATGGTACTGAACGGCAGCAGCAGGTCACTAAAATGTCATTGTACAGAGCCAGAAATTTAACTTATGATATTATCGCTTCTTCTATTGAACATGAATGCATTTAGAAGAAACATTTGCACATAGATTAGATTGATGTTATACTTTTCCTATTACCCTTCTAATAGTGAAACCTATGTACTTTCTTACAGGTTTTCCTAGACGGAGACCTCACCAAACAATCCACTATTAATTTGGTGGATTTGGCAGGAAGTGAAAGGCAGAAATCTTCAGGATCTGAAGGTGACAGACTATGGGAAGGATCGCGAGTTAACTTAAGCTTAACCAATTTAGGGAATGTTATCAGGTAAATACTTAGTGAACATATAATTCTACCATTAAGATGATCTCAAAAAAAAAATCTCAGGTACAAAAAAATTAGCTTAATCACAATCTTGGTTCATGACTCATTGCTATCATTGATTGATAACTTGGTTCATGACTCATTGTCATGGCTTGCCCTCTCATAGATCTTATTTTAAATAAAATAACACATATAAATGTAGCTACCCCTAATCCAAGAAGTAGCATATTGCCAGTAACATGTAAGTATGTGTGCCTGTTGTATTCTTCTCCTGTCCTTCCCCTTAGAGAAACCACAGCTTTGAATATTATGTTTTATGGTATTCCTGATTATTAGTAAGGTTGAGCATCCTTCAGATCCACCAACTGGTTGAGGGCCCCTACTCACAACTATACCACACAATCAATGGTCAATGCCAGCACAAACCCTCACCAACTGCTCTATATGAACAGAGAACTAGGCAAAAACTCCCTTTCCGTATCATTCCCACCAAGAGACAGGTGTTCAGAATCTAAGAACACACCAACCTACCATCACCAACTAAATATAACGACACTAAAACATCTCAGAAACAAGAATTTCAGCCCACATGAAGAAACAAGACAATGGATCAAACAAGTGACCATAATACGGAGCCAGAAAAAAATATTTCCTGAGAAAGAAAAGTCATAGGAAATACTTAACAAGGAAAGCAAAAGAATAATATGTAGGTATCTTCAACTGATTGGAAGACAGATCAAATAAAAACCCAGTAGAATAATACTAAGATTTCAGAAATAGATAAAGCATTGAAAGTGCAAAGGAGAATTGAATCGATGGACTAGTGAAGGCCAGTCTCTCAATGCTAATCTGCTAGAGAAACAAAGAAGAAAAAAAACAAAAATAAATGAATAAAGTCTATGGATTATGTGAAGATACAAGAGGAATAACATGTAATGGGAATTCCAGAAAGCGAAAAGACAAAAACACAGAGAGAAATGTCAGAGTTGTTGGGGAAAACTTCCCTAGCATCATGAAAGATGAGAAGATATGCATTCAAGAAATTCTACAAACCTCCCAACAGGATGAAGCCCAAAGAAAAAGACATATCATATGTAAACTTTCCAAAAATCAAAGACAAGGAACAAATCCTGAAAGAAAACAACAAAAAACCAACATGCAACAAAATTATTTCACAAATAAACAAATTGGGACATTTATCCAGCCCGCCGGGTGCTTTTGCCCGTTTTTTTTTTT